CTCTTTCCAGCAGTGAGAGTGCGCCGGAGTATCCCATTACATCGCTGAAACTATTCACTCCAACCTGATGCCAAGGTGCCCTAATTTTGCTTTTTATAGCCAGCATGTCTGTACCAACCTTTTATCTCTTGTGTCTGCCTAAAAAACCTGACCTAATAAGATAGACCCCATTTTTGTCTTCCTGCTTCATTGCCCATTTCACAAAGAATACTAAATGCTTGTAATTAGGTGCCAGGTCAGAAAGATCAGGAACTGTTTCAAATTCATTTTCATCTCACTCCAATAACCTGGCTGTTATGTGAAATGACGTTTCACTAGTAAAACTGGAACAGAAACATGAATGTAAAATGGCTCAGCACGGGTGCACACTGGGTCTTTCATTTAACAAATGCTGGGCTTGGTCCTTGCGTTGGGGTCAGGGGACTCTAAACACAGTATAAAAGGGAAAGACCGGCATATGAAGAAAAGTTCGACGGTGAGAGTGGTAAGACTGCTGAGAGAGTGGGGGTCCAAGGAGAGAGTGACCAATCCCACCTTGGGCAGGGAGGGCTGGGTTTGGAAAAAGGCTTTCCTGGGGAGGCCAGACTGCAGTACGTGATTGCGCAGTGGGTAAACTCCACATAGGGACGTGGCGATAAGGAAGATCATGCAGGAACAGGTGGACATCAGTTTCCCATATTCCCAGGAATGTAAGTCTAACCCAGGCGTGTGAACCCTGGACAATCAATCTAATTCAGCTTTAAATTAGCCCTAGAAGCCTAAGCCGATTCTGACACCAGGAATTTAAGACATTTTCAATGATACAAACGTTTACCTGTCTCCAAAATAGAGAAATCCCATACCAAGAAAAGCTAGTGGCACTCCAGCCCAAGCAGAAGCCTGGCCAGGGTTTTGGACTAAAGGGAACCTCACCCCCGGGGCGTGCAAAGCAGACAGGGCTGCTCTTTCTTTAAAAACGGCCTAAAACCAACATGAACTATTTCCAGAAAGAACAAAAGCAGTGTACACTTAATTCGATAGGATAACCGGCGTGAACTGTTATCTGTCTTAACCTAATAAATAACTCAATACTTATTATTTTCATACCCAAACAGTCACCAAGTACTTTGGCAAAGTAACACTGAATTACTGTTCCTTGACAGTTAAACTGAGGTCTCAGTTAAAGGAGGCCCTGGAATTCAGCAATGTAGCCACAGCAGAGGTTTCTTCTTCATTACTTAGACTTTAATTCCTTTGAAAATTAAGATTTACTAACTCTGGCCCTTTTGTCATGCTACCACTCAACTCTATTACCATAATATTGTCCTCAGACTTCTTTGGGTTTTGCTCTGTATAGTTTATCTATTGCATTTCTTTATACTCCTTTCGTTTATAGCACTTGCCCCTTTTAAAACAAGTCAAGCTTTTTTTCTGCAGGTTAAGTCTATACCCATACAGATACCTGGATATATGTCAGCTCTGTGAAAATATCTCATTCTGATTCATATTAGATGATTACTTTTTTTCAACCAAAATATTACTCGGTGTTGTAGCTTATATTTCTCCCTAAATTTATCCTATTAACTCTTTCATCTCTCCATGCCGACACCAAGACTCTGTGCTGGGCCCCTGCTCCTTTACTTTCTCAAACCTTGAGCAAAGTTTCTTCCTTTTACAAATGTCCTGCTTCAAATTCAACCACCAAAGCAAGTCAACATGTTAGCAATACTGCAGAGATACGGCTTCTCATATTTGAGAACTCAGAGAACATTAGAAGATAAACATCCTATTGCATGTTTCAGAATGGCCTTTAAAATATGGAACAGTGACAGATCAAAAAGTTCTAAAACTATTTCTAAAGGAAGTTGATCACATTTTCTACAGAATTGAATTCTTTAATAGCAAGGAAAATCATCTCGAGTATACTGACTTTCTTTTAGGAGAAGCAATGAAGAGTCAAATAAACATACTTTCCTTGTCTCCCCATCTTCCAAGATAAAGAATACTCACATCCTGCCATTTCTGGTCTTGTTCTTTTAACTGTGATTTTATTTTCTGCATCTCCTCGTAACGCAGCTGACGCAAGTTCTGAACATCCTCTGCGCTGACATCACTCATGGACTTACTCCTACAACAAAAATACCCATGGTAACCAAGGTTCACATGACCAGATTTAGGGTTAGAACTGGAAGGTTGGGCTTATACTTGGAAATTCCATCTAAATTTCTGCTGTACTACCTAGATGCTGTAGTGATAATATCACAGAAATAGCACTACAGAGATAAATGGTGTTTTTCCAGAACGCAGAAACAAGAGCCTCGGATTCTACCCAAGTGTGAATTCTTTCACAAAATGGCTAAATGAACCCTGCACAAGTCTGAAAAAATAATCCAATGTTCATATTTAGAGTGGTCCTAGCATAAAAGAATTACCTCAGAAAAAATAATAACTATTAGTCACTAGAACCATTTCTCTTTATTTTTCTATCCCTCCAGAAGCTAATCTTTTAAGGGTTGGCTGCCTTTTCTGCTCACTTATTAAATAATTTAATGATTACCTGATATTTTCTGCTCAAGTTCAATACCATGAATAAATGTGCTGCTGCTTCTCAAGGATTCTGTAAGATCTGCCCCTTCACTGCACTGGACTTGCTCTCAAAGCATCACAGGTAGTTTCTAAAATTCAGTTCTAATATAGCCCTCTTTTTTACTAAGGCAACTTTCATGTCTTCCAGGTGTGACTCCTGCCATGAGGATATACTGAGGATTAGCTCTCAAGGAGATCGATCTACAGTAGAAACAGAGTGGAGTGTTGGACACGAGGCATGTGTATGCTGTGCAGGGGCACGTAAAAAGGGATAGTAAACTGCACTGGAGAAGTGGGGACTGAGGGAAAAAGAGGAGTCAGATCTGAATACCGAAGAGCAGGGAGGAATGAGAGAAGGGAGAGAGACAGAGCTTTTGAAGGTGGAATGTCCCAAATGTTCCCTCCTTCAAATCTTTCATAATGCACTTCTGATTGTATTTCATTGTAACCGACTCCATTTTTATTTATTTATGTAACTCTACACTGCCTTCTTGGGTCCCTAAACTTTGCCTTCTCCAAGGTTTTGCCATCGCATTTCTTTTGTAACATACTTGCCCTTATGAACTGGCTCAGAAATTCATTATAATCTCTATGCAAATGACTCCCGAATCCACAGACCAGGACCAGTTCCCTCTTTTGACTCAATTTCAATTGCTTATTAAATAAACATCTCTGCATGGATATCCCCTAAGCACTTCCATGGTAAAAGGGCCAATCAAAATAATATCTAGAAAGGATTTTGTAAACAGTAATTCTTTAAACATATGGTATTGTTGATATAGCCAAACTCAACCTTGTCCCCAAATTTGCTTTTCCTCTTATGGTTGTTAAGGGTATTACCTGCCCTTCAATCATCCACATTTGAAACCAAAGAACCATTTTTCACTTTCGCCTCTCCCTCCTGCCTACTTTCAATTAGTTATCAAGTCCTCTTATTCAGTGTCCTTTTCTTTCCATTTCTATTGCCAACACCCTAGATCAGAGCACAGTCAACTCTTACCTAGACTTTTTAAAAAGCTTCTTAAATTATCACCCTGCCCCCAGATCCAGTAAAGGTCTTTCCTGAACTGTTCCATTCAACTCGAAAGCCCTTTACCAGGATATTCAGCTTTTAAAATTTCACTCATTCCTTGGAAATCCTGCTGTACTAAACTCCAGATGGGTAAATGTGACTTCCTACTCATTCTCCACTTGGAAGTCCAACAGGCAACTCAAACTGAATTTGTCACAGACCAAAACCATGACTGCTCATCCTATAACCTGCTCATCTCTCATCTTCCTCATCTCAATAACAGCAAACTCTGTCCTTCCAGACTATAGGCCAAAAATCTTGGAGTCATCCCAGATTGCTCTCTTTCTTTCACACAAGGTAACTGATCCCATCAGTAAATCCTGTCACTCTGCCTTCTAAATATATCTAGGATACAACCAGTTCTCACCACCTCCACCGTTATTACCACTCTGATCCAAGCCATTATAGCTCCTGCTTGGATTATTACAATAATTGGTCTCCTTGCTTCCACCTCTTCCTGCCTAACAGTATATTCACAACACAGCAGCCAGAGGCGGTCTTTTCAAAATTGCACTCAGATCATGGTATGCCTCCACTCAGCACCCACCAGTTCCTTCCTCGCTTGAGTTAAAAACAGGTTCTACCAAGATGTATAAGGTCCAGCCTTCACCTGGCCCCTCCCTAATTCTTTACACTCATCTCCTGAAAGGCTCCCCTCTTCATTCACTTGGCTACAGCCAAATGGCTTCCTTGTTCATACTCGACCTCTTGCTTTTCTGCTTACTCTTCAATCTGCCTGGAATCCTCTTCGCCCAATATCCGCATGGCTTATCTCTCACTCCCAGTCATCTGCTTAAATGTTAACTGGGTGTTTCCTTCCTTGACTGCCCTACAGAAAAATAGCAAACATTCCTCCCCACCCTGGCTTTTTCCCTTACCCTCTTTCTCCACAGCATATATTGCCATCTGAATTGTGCGTTTACTTACATATCACTTGCCTTGTCCTATAATATTATGAAGTAGGAGTTTTGTCTGATTTGTTTGCTGCTGTATCACGTATGCCTCAAAGAGTACCCACCCTAAGGAAGGTGTTCATAAATATATTAATGATCTAGATAGTATTCTACCACTTTGATAAATTCTTCCTAGCTCTTCCACGCCAAAAGTGGTCTGTCTCTGCTCTCAACTCCTCTAGTGCCTTAGCTATCCCTTTTTCATGGGAATTAACACAGCCTTATGGTATATACAGTGTGTACACAAGCGTGTTGCTTGACTTAGCTTATTCACAAATTCACATGTTGCTTGGGGGAAACACACATTACCACAGCACGAGACGTGCAGGATACATTCATTTAACATATGTGGTAAGGATGAGGTGTGTTTTATCGTATTTAATCAAGCAAAATGAAGTTGAAATATTTCTAATTTTTTTTTTTTTCAGAATTTATGACTTCTCCCAAAGTTTTATAAAGAAAGCTTTATAGGACTTCTTAAAGAATATTAAGGACTAACATATAGAATACATATGAATTTATAAATGAAATTATATATTGATCTATTAATGTAATATTACTTAACCAGGTATGACCGTATATAAAACTGATTTATGTGAATTTGAGAATATAAATTCACTTAAGTCATAACTGCTAAGAATAAAGCAATTTGAGCTAATATTATAATAGACTCAACTAAAAAGAGAGGAGGAAGAATTTTCAGGACACAGGTATTAAGGGATACCTAACATATGCAATTACATAAATTCCAGAACAAAAATGGAGATGGAAATACTTTCATAATCTCTGGGAGGTGAAGAGGCTGGACAGTCTCAACTGGCCCAGACTTGGACACGGGTGCTATTTTAGCCCTCACTCGACACTGTGAAACCTTGACAAGCACCTTTTCAGAAAACATGCTCATCATGGGCAGAGGCCTCATAGTCCTCTGAGAGCCCACAGCACAGAGCCTGGCAGGTTCCCCATAGGAACAAAGTGAGCCAAACACCTCCTGGAGCAGACAAGTCTCTGCCTAAGGCAAGAATGTGAACTCCTTTTGTTCCCTGGGGTGCATAATGTTACCCACATTAAGCCTGAGCACTTTCCATACAGGCTGAGCCAGGCACTGGAATGAAACAGGAAGTGCAGGCTCCCAGCCTGGCAGTGGCACCAATTTTCACCCCAACTTAACAACATTTCATTTCTGAGATTCGGTTCCTCGTCTGCTAAGCAAGGAAGGGATTATTATGAGACACAGGTAAGGTTATGCTGATTGCATTTTAATAACCATCTGGCTCTACACACCAACTATTCTCATTCAGGTAAATATGACTGCGTGAGATCTCCTGAAAACTAATTCCCAAAGCAGTTTCAAATTAGAGAGGTCACCCCAGGCCACACTGATAAAATCTAGAACTTTTAGAGTACAGGAGTCTTTTAGCCAGATCATGAAGAATTCTTTCCTTCCTTATCAGGGTTAAGCATAATAAACTTCTGAGGGTTTATTGTGTGTCAAGCAGTCTACCTGGATTATCTCATTAGACAAAACCGTAAGTCCGGTTTTACCACTTACTAGCTAAACATCTTAGAGAAACCTGCAATATCTGTTTCTCTTTCTCTGCGTCTCTAAAATGTCTATAATACCCACCTGTCTACCTCATAGAACTAAGATAAGCACCAAAGATAGTCCCAGGAAAACTGTTTGGGAAAACTGTTAAGTACTACACAGCTCTAATATGTCTTGTAGAATGAATTACTATTCACTAGCCAATCACAATTCTTACAGTTTATTTACTTGCCACCTTTGTATTTTCTTATGTGAAAAGGCTCTAAGTTAGAAGTGCATTTGAATTTCTTCCAAAAAAACATGGGTCTAACATATTGCATTTTCAGTTGATATAATTTATTAAATAGCATTTAGGGTAAAGAGAGAAATAAGGAGAAAGTTTAAGGAAGAAGGTATAGATTATAAACCAATATCACTAAAATCTTATTCTCTTCTCCCACAATGCTAATCATCTACTATTCTCCTGGCACTTTTTGACTAGTGCTATAATGCATAATATTTTAGAACTCAATTTCAGAAAATGTATAGATCAAAAAGGAACACCATGTAGCAAAATTTCCTGAATATAAAAATCCCTGGTAGCCTTACTTCCATGATAGTAAGTTTAGTTAGGGCCCCCAACCTTCAGCGGAAGATATGAATATACTTATTCATGTACCTCTAGATATATTTCCATTGGGTGTTATAGGAATTCTCTAAAGAATAATCAATACCAAAACCTGGGTAAGAGGCTTTAGAACTACCATAAACTAGAATGATAAACAATGTAATAAAAACTTTTCTTTTGTAGGTTTATAGTCTAAATCAGGGTTTCTCCACAGTGGTAATATTGACATTTTGAGGCCAGAAAATTATTTGTGGTAGGTGGCTGTCCTGTATTGAAGGGCATTTAGCAGCATTCTTGGCTATAAAGGCACTAGGTGCCAGTAGCAACTCTTGCCCCCCAACAGCCCACCCAATGTGACAATCAAAAATGTCTGCAGGCATTGCCAAATGTCTTCTGGGGACAAAATCCCCAGAAAGTAACTCATATCAACTTATTTTCTCTTCCTTTTTGTTGTCTTTTGTGTTCTTACAGTTCTACAGAATGTTTTAGCCAAAACCCACAAGTGAAGTTGGCCATAGATTGATTCAATGGCTTAATCATAGTACAAAATTATAGCTATATACCCTTACAAATTTCTTTGTCATCAGAACTTCTGCCAAGAGGCATCATAATCAAATTTCCAAATATCATGGAACCATACAGATACAAGTCCATGCAACACAAAGCACACATGTGAGAAATGACTGCCATAAACAAAGCGTCTTACCAAAAATAAAGTGACAGGTGTTAATTGCCAAATAAAGAGCAAGCCAGAAATAACAATTAATAAATGATCTAAGACTTCAAAAGGTAATGCATATTTCTCATTAACCTGGTCTTTACCAAAAAGCAAGCATTCATTATTTTTCAACCACAGGATGTTGAACAATAATGATTTTTCCAGATAAGTATTCTCAGCTTAACAATGTATATATGTCCACAGACATACCACCCAGAAACATCGGTTGTTTCAGATTTATAAACATTTACAAACATGTTTATAAACACGAAACCAGTTCTAGATTAAAAGCCTGTACTCGATTCAATTTCATTTTTTGCTCTCATTGCAGATCAATTTAAGAAAAACATTAGTAATTAATAGACTGTAGAAACATAATAGATTTTGATTGCAAGTAGTCTAAAACACACTTCAGCTTTCTGAAGACATATTTGTATCACTTTCCATTATTTCACAAGTCATGCATTATTCATCAGTCTCAACTTACAATCTTGTTTTATTTGTGTTGTTACCTTGTCACTAAACTACAAGGGGAACAGCCTTTAAAACAAATACTGTACCATGCCAGCAACAATTCTGAAATAGTCTACAGAAAGCATTTGCTGCTGCGAGCTATAGCCGAGACAAATCCTGAGCTTTCTGAGCCTTGGCATTCATTTGGGTTTCTCTTTTCTTAACTCAGTCACACCATGAGTCCCTATGGGAACATGGATAGTCACTGAAATAGCTGCGCATGTTTACATTCCTTGTACTCGGGGTTCTGGTATCCCTTTTAAGAAAACAACATGTTTACATTACAAAGTCTTATTTACCCATAAATATTCTTCTGAAAGTTATCATTCAAAATGCTTGAAGATGCAAAGAGACTTTTCCAGTTAAAACAGCTTTCCCATGGTGAATTGAGATGAGAAGATGCTTAAGCATCATGCTGAAATTGCCATGTTAACCCTCACCAGTGAAAACGTTTTAAGCACAAAGGAGCTGAACAGAGGATAACATGCCTTCACATGGCACATGGAAGGCATGCTGGGAGCGTGATTTTTAAAATTGGTGACTGAGAAGGACTTGCAATTAGTTGCTGTGGTTGAGTTACACCTTTGACATCTAAAATGGTTATATTACTTTAAATAGCAATTTTAGTAACTTCTAAGCTCTCTATACTATCAAATAACCCAGTTATCAAAATAAGAGACTCTTAGAGGTGAAATAAATTCTGGTAGGGGAAGATACTTAGCTACTAAAGCTTAGGCCTTAAAATTAAAACTGATTAAAAATCAAGATTAAAATACTGAACACACTTAAGTTTTTTTCTTAAAAACTTAGCAGTTAGAACCACACCTGGTTGTTTTTAACTAAGAAATGATTCTACACAGTTAGTATGTAACAAAAAGTAAAAGTATTAACTTTTAACTCTGTTATTCTGGAAATGAAAAATATTTCCAGAAAGTTATTTTTATATTTTATGTCTACCAAGTGACTAAAGTTAAACAGTAGACAAAAATTAAGAATTAGTCACACATCTAGTCCTCGCAACAATATTGGGGACTACCTAGATTTTAATTTTTTGCAGTTTTGGAAGGCCGATTTGCTTCTATAAAACAGCTATGTCATAACATTTTAACCTAATCAGGAACCTTGAAAATGTTTCCAGATTCTACTAAAGGAAGATTATACCACTCACTATCCTAAGAAAGCTCCCCATAAGCTAGGAGTATGTAGATAATGCCAACTGCATGTATTCCAACCTCAAAGTAGATATTAAGATTCTTTTTCCATCACAGATTTTCTAAAATGTAATTATTTGGGCTTCAACATCCAGAATGAAAATTTAGATCTGCATAGTCATCAAATGCCAAAATAAATAGATCTAATCTTAGGCAAGTGCTTTTGTTACTCTTAATCAACTCTTTGAATTTAAAAAAAAAAAAAAAAAAGACCTGAATTTTAAACTTCTAATAAAGCAATTCTATTGTTTTCACATAGCACTTCATGCACTGAGTACTCAGACACATTACCATTAGGTTAAAAAAAAAATTTTAATTTCCCCCCTCTAAATCTCATGCACAGCACACAGCATCCCCCCCGTTTAGTGACATGCCAGGATAGAAGTGTAATGACACATGACACAAAGGACAAACAATATGCAGAGACTGGTTTTTTTAACTGCGAACCATAAAACTTACCCATTCTCACCATAAATCTTTTGAAAGAGTCTAAGAAATCAGAAAACCAAAAATTAAAAGTCATTTTTTCCAGGGCATTAGTTTGTAAATGTGCAACATTTTTAACTTAAGATTCTAACTAGAGATGGACAAATCTTAAAAGGTTGCCTCTTCAGTCACATTCTTGATCATGTCTCAAATTCTCATTGATCTCATATCTCAAGGAATTCACATGAAGCAAGATAAAGACTTTCCTGATTTAACTTACACTAATAAATCCATAACAAAGCTTCCTGTTGCCAGGAACTAATAAAAAGTTAGATTTGGGTCTACTAATTTTATTCAGCCTAATCATATTTGTCCATCCCAAGTTCAATAAACTTAACATTAATCAAAAATATCAAGTTGCATAACACAAAAATGCACTCATTATAAAAATGGCCGTAATTACATATATGTAAATTTTAGCAGACAGCAAATAACATTCATGCTTTTTAATAAAGTTTGCACTGAACTTTAGAAAATTTAGAAAGTCACACACTAATAGTCCAAGAAACCTAGGTCAAGAACAAAACCAAAATCAAGTTAAATGAAATTTGCAATGCCATATTTTAAGGGAAATTTTTACACAAAAATCATACCCTCCAAAATGAGAAACACATAAAACCAAACTAGAACCGGATTGTTTCAGAAATGCCTGGACATGAGAATAAAAGTCTGTTAATGTAATTGAAAAACACGATCATGAAACATCACGGTGCAGAATAGTGCCACAATCTTTCCTTAAGAAAAAGGCAAGTTTTGCTTTATACACCTTCTTAGAGAGGCCTCAAGTAGGTAATTTAGAGATGTGCAAATATGGAATTGCACTTTTTCCGTGAAATTACTAAAGGTTTCACAAAGCAAAATAAACTTTTACAGGATGCTTCAACATAGCTCATGACATGCAGTCGGGCAATACGATGCCACTCTCTCACACAAATTACACAAGGCCATCCATTACAAGCAAAATTCTTGCAGAAACACACTCTGACCTCTCAACCATCAGTCGTTTCTTGTGCCTAAGCCTGCTGGCCTCCCGGATGGCTTCCCACTTCTGTAAATCCGCCTCACTGCACGGACCAGGGGTGAAACTGATGGGAGGCACAGGAGTTCCCATCTTCCAAGATTGGATCTTACGAATCAACATGTCATCTTTCTTCTGCCGATATGAAGGAACTAATACTCTACAGCTATTAATTTTTTCTTTGGATGGGCATGTCCTTTCAAGAACACAGAGAAATTTTGCTTGAATTTCTGGAGGAAGAGTCCAAGGTTCAGGAAAGGGAATTGGTTGGTATCTATCTGGGGCCCCCGACAGAGGCACCTCTTTCTTCTGTGCTGGAATTCGGCGAACAATCATATCATCTTTTTCTAGATCTGGAAGTACAAGTTCACCTTCC